AAAAAAAAAAAAGACTATATATTTACAGATTAGCTTTCTAATATTCACCAGTACTATGTAAGTTAAAGTTTTTGGTGTAAATTAAAAGGTTAAACCCCTGAACATGTCAGGAATATGAAATGACCAGGAAATTAGAAAATGATAAGGAAATAAGAAAAATATCCTAAATCTTTCCCAAACCGAGTCCTCAGTTCCTGAGTAAATATTCAATGTAACTATTTTTGTTTTGTTGTCTAAATGAATACCAAATTTCTTATATGTAAGTCAGACGGCATGCTAAGAAAGGAATACATTTGAATATATTAACATAAAATTTATCCAATCATTGAACATTGGTCTGAAAACATTTATTCACTGAAGTGATAAATTTTTAGTCATCAGATTGTCAGACAGAACACATCTAAAGCCAACACTGAAACATTACTTTGAATAATTTTTACCCAATAACTTAAGAAAGAACAGAATGGGGGAGGCTTGTTGCTATTTTTATTGCAACAAAGACATACAAATTCTAAAGCAAAAACACTGTTAAGTTTGTTCTGTCCTGTGACTGACATGACTGAAATTTGTCAATTGGAAAATTAAATCCCACTTGCTTTAAATTTTTGCATTGCTTCTAAACAGTTAAATTATGTAACAGAAACAAGTCTTAATTATAAACCTCTTTCAATTGTAAGTGGCTCTATGTGAAGATGAGCACTATTATTCATATACGCAACCCCTAAAGCAACATCTCCTAAGAAAGATGTGCATCAGATTGTCCTTAAGACTTTTTTCTGAAATATAAATGCCTATAGAATATAAATGGCTATAGAAGCTCTGTGGAGTAGGTACTGGAGCTAAATATTTTGATGAAGCTTCCAGGTGATACTGAAACATCTTTTATAGAACTACTATCAGAGACAATACTCCCATATGTGCATGTACTAGAAATAATTTTCTTTTCTTTTCTTTTTAGAGACAGTCTCACTTTGTCACCCTCAGTTAGAGTGCCATGGCGTCACAGCTCACAGCAACCTCCACCCCTTGGGCTTAGGCGATTCTCTTGCCTCAGCCTCCTGAGTAGCTGAGAATATAGGCACCAGCCATAGCGCCTGGCTATTATTTTTGCTGCAGTTTGGCCGAAGCCAGGTTCAAACTGGCCACCTTCAGTACGTGAGGCCAGCGCCCTACTCACTGTGGCACAGGCACCGCCCTAGAAATAATTTTCTTACAAATGTAAAAATGTCGCCTGACTGAAATAAAATCATCTCACCTCCAAAACAGCCCTCCCCAAATTACCTTTTCCTTCTCTGGGTTTCTTCTTTATACCTAACTCAGGAGACCCATTGGAAATTGGTGATTGCTGGGTCTTTGGTTTTCGGCCAACTGAAAAAATAAGATACAGAAACCGTACACTGAAAATAGGAAAAATAACAGAAGCAGGATTAACAGACTCTATTCTGATAACACATTATGCATTAAACTGGACACTACTTTGTGGATTAATATACTCAGCGTATTTGATAAGTTGCTTTTAAAAGGAGCATCAGGCTAGGCTCATGCCTATAACACTAACACTCTGGGAGGCTGAGGCAGGAGGATTACTTGAGCTCAGGTGTTTTAAGACCAGCCTGGGCAACATAGCAAAATCTTGTCTCTTAAAAATTAGCCAGGCATGAGTAGCACAGTGACATGCACTTTTAGTCCTAGTGACATGGGGTCTGAGGCAGGAAAACTGCTTGAGTCCAGGAGCTGGAGATAACAACAAGCTACGACAGAGCCATTGCACTCCAGCCTGGGTGACAGAATGATACCTCATCTCTTTTTAAAAATAAATAAGTAACTTTTTAAAAAAGGAGCATTAAAACCATTTCTTCAATTTTAGACTATAGCCATTAGTTGGTAGTAACCTTAATGTGCAACACAAGGTAGGTACTATTAATCTATTATTACATCGACAGAGCCTCAAATTGCTAACCATTTCCATTAATATAGCAACAGGAACAAATCCTAGTATAAACTTTTTTATTTTTTGTTCTACAGGATTGTTACCTACTTACTAAGGAGGATCTGGTAATCTATTTGAGAAACGCTTTGAGCTCTAATGAGGAAAAGAAAAATATTAAGCACATTTTATTGCACTGAGCCAGTTAATTCACTAGAATTTAATCATGAGTGTTCCAATTTTCCTATCTCAAATGCAGGTATAAAGCTAACAAAAAACTTCCAAATGATTATTTTGTATGTCTAATAAATGTTTGTAACCCTTCCCTTTTGTTTCTCACTTCTGATGTTAAGTCTCTCTCACAGTCGAGCATCCACAATGAATGAAAAAGCAAGGGTTATGCTTCTCTGCACTAAAGAGAGCCTATGTCTGAAATGAGTTCTCTTAAATCCTTAGCACAAATGGATGAATGCTGACAGATGAAGGAAAATCTCAAAGAAGAGGTTGGGAATATTTAAGAAAGCTGCATTTTCACATTAAACATACTATTACTGATTTGTGATTATCCTACACCTGAAATTTCGAATGTCATGCTATTCTTTCATTAGCAAAGATTAATTTAGCTCTTTATATAATTAATCTAAATAAAGTATCTTAACTACTATTTCAAAATGCACAGATATATTCTAGGATTTCATTCCGGTAATTCTAATTAATAAGATGTCTGCTTTGGCAAAAATTAACTGGCTTTTTTTTCTTTTTTTTGAGACAGAGTTTTATTATGTTGCCCTTGGTAGAGTGCCATGGCATCACAGCTCACAGCAACCTCAAATTCTTAGGCTTGAGTGATTCTCTTGCCTCCACCTCCCAAGTAGCTGGGACTACAGGGGCCTGCCACAACGCCTGGCTATTTTTTGTTGCAGCTGTCATTGTTGTTTAGCAGGCCCAGGCTGGGCTCAAACGCACCAGTCTCAGTTGCCTTACTCACTGAGCTACAGGTGCTGAGCCAAAAAAATTTAACTATTCTTAATAAAAAATCCTAACTGGTCTCCTTGTTAGAATATAGCTTCATTTCTCAAATAATATTTATGTGTACAAAAGCTAACATCTTCACCATCTCCTAAGTTGAAGCATGAAAACCTAACTTAATAGAAAAGTTGTCCCCCAAAGGCTTGATTTCTTTTCCTTTTTTTTTGAAGCCAGGATCTCACTCTATGACTCCAGCTTGAGTGCAGCTGCACCATCTACAATGTCAGATCCCTGGGTTCAAGTGATCCTCCTGCTTTAGCCTCCCACGTACCTGAAACTACTGGTGTATGCCAACAACACCCGCCTAATTTTCTATTTTTTGTAGAGACAGGGTCTCACTCTTGTTCAGGCTGGTCTTGAACTCTATCCTCAAGCAATCCTCCCACCTCAGCCTCCCAAGTTCTAGAATTACAGGCAGGAACCACTGTACCCAGCCTTAATTTATTTTCTTATAAAGCAGCATTTCCAAAATTATTTTTCTTAAGAAATTAAAAGAACATTCCTCAACAGGAAAGGGGATGGTATAGTCAAATTAACTTTTAGAACACCATATGCTATCTTCTCTGGAAATAGAAGGTGGCTCTGCTATTAAAAAATAACCTATTGGCTCGGTGCCTGTGGCTCAAGTGGCTAAGCCAGCCACATACACCTAAGGTGACGGGTTCAAATCCAGCCCGGGCCCGCCAAACAACAATGACGGCTGCAACCAAAAAGTAGCCAGGTGTGTAATGCCACAGCACTCTACCCAGGGGGACAACTTGAGGCTCTGTCTCCAAAAAAAAAAAAATTATCTATGTAGGCTCGGTGCCTGTGGCTCAAGCAGCTAAGGCACCAGCCACATACACCTGAGCTGGCAGGTTCACCTGGGCCCGACAAACAACAATGATGGCTGCATCCAAAAAATAGCCAGGCATTGTGGCAGGCACCTGTATTCCCAGCTACTTGGGAGACTGAGGCAAGAGAATCGCTTAAGCCCAGGAGTTGGAGGTTGCTGTAAGCTGTGATGCAATGGCAATCTACCCAGGGTGACAGCTTGAGGTGCTGTCTCAAAAAAAAAAAAATTAAAATAAAAAATAACCTAAGTTTCTATGTCTCCAATGTACATAATCACAAAAATATAAATAGTGGCACTCTGATTCTTTATTGTGTCCCTTATAGCAATGAGCACAGAATGGCTGTTATTTTTAAATGGTTATTCATTAAGAGCTTTCAGAGATCTTGCAGAAAACAGAGGTGGATGGCCAAAGAAAAAGAAAAGCTTTCCCAGAGACAAAATCAGTATTAAGTTGGCAAATTACTTTCCTGGTTTTTATCATATCACATCCTGGTTTGTATGTGACTCCTAATTTTCATGGTCTTTTCTATCTTCTTTTAAATCAAAAAATTTCTTAAGTATTTTATAACATCTCCTATTGGACACAACAGGCCTAGTGCTACAGAGAAAGTGGGTAAATAGGGCCATTTATACAAATGCCTTTGTCTTTAAACATTTATGCCAGAAAGTAATTCTTCACTAATAATTCTCTCATTCATGCCTCTCAAGATACGTATAATTTACATATATAGTATGTGAGATGGTACTCTGTCCTATTCTTCATTATCTCCCTTATAGCACTAAGTACAGAATGGTATATATCACAGCTATGTATTTAATGAATAAAAAGAAGATATCAGTATTTCTAATATACTTTCCATTTACAATTTCCTTTGATTTTTTTTTAGATGAGTACCCAATTACTTAGGATTTCATTTCTTTCAAATTTTACCTTTGAACAGGAATGAAGCTACTTACTGTCCATTTCTTCATGGTGTTAGCTATGTGCAAGAGTCTTGTGACTCGCCCATTATGATCAGGGAAGCAGAAATTTAACAGGAGTCAAAGAAGAAGTGGAAATGCTCTTTTCTTTACCCACCAGTAAGTTTATACCAATTAGAAGCCTCTACTGGCAGTATTAGTGCTTTAAAGCAGAAAGTAGGGGGAAGAAAATAGAGCTAATTAAAAAAAAAAAGATGGAATCTCACTGTGTTGCCCAAGCTGACACCTCAAACTCCTGGATCCAAGTAATCCTCCCTCTTCACCTTCCAAGTAGCTGAAACTACAGGCATGTCTGACTCTCTCTTTTATTTATAATGTCCAAAAAGAGGGAGAAGATAGGACTTTGTAAAATAGAGAAAATATAGAATAAAAATTTTAAGTAACTACCTATAAAAGGATCAGAAAGGTAGAAGAAAGGGTAAGACAATGTGCAGGGAATATGTAATCTGCCTTCTGTGTGTTTAACATCTTTTAAAATCTCATTTTCAGGCAAGTTCCTTCAGAACTTAAAAACTAACTCCTTAAAAAGTATGAGTATATATATAT